CAATCCCTACGTGCACACCCACCAGGGTGGAACCCAGGGCGACACCAGGCGAAAACTCAACGACACCCATGGCGCATCAAGCGCCGCTGGCGGCATCACCGCGGTCCACGCCAACAGCTCCCGTGACAACTTTCACGCGATCGAGACGGACCATGTGAAGAGGTGGGCCCGCCTTCAAGCGTGCATTCACGGTGGGGGCCCGTGGGACAAGGCGGACCTGCCGAGCAGAGTTCCAGGTATTGTGGGGGCCTGGTCGACCGTTCAACAAGGCACCGAGGTCACGGTCATTGGCCCGGTGCGGAACCCCACTGACGGCTAGTCTGGCCCCTTCGTTGTCCGCTAGGAGTATCAGAACCAGCGTTGAATGGTTCTGCTGACAAGTGGAGAAACAACCGCCCTGTTCACGTCAAGTCTGATCCAACGCTCCCTTCAGAACCAGGGCGGGGTAATGGTGCGCCAACGTCAAGGCCCATGCTAGCAGAGAGGCCTGCTTCGGGCCTGGCAGCTGTCGCCCGCGCGGACAGTTGTGTCAGGGTCTGAGGTTGCACTTCCGATGCCAACCGTCGCGCCAGTCATTGCGGCCCTGACTGAGTTCGCGATCTCCCTGGGGCTTGGTTCGCGGCGGCGGAAGCTCTTCGGCCAGTTCCGCACATGCCGACGCAGACCGCGCCCCCCCGTCGGCCCATCTCGTCCCGGAATCCCGGGAGGCGACGCTGTGGAGGCCCCGCGTGAGGGCATCGGTGCCATCGGTGTGTGTGTGTGTGTGTGTGTGTGTGTGTTCACGCGAGCTTCATTCCGAACGAGTAGAGAGAAAGATGCCGCTGGCGCGCTGAATTGCGAGGGTGATGCCAGCATGGGCGGGTTTCTCTTCTCCCCGGACCCCAACTCCCTTTCTTCGCAGCTGCAGCGGGGGCGCTTGGATTGCCCATATCACAGGGCTTGTTGTGAAGCGCAGTTTTGTATCTCCATCCGTCGTGGGGCGATCGATCCTAGCTTGCTTCGGCTCGTATGTTTCGCTGAGGCCGCTGGATCCCGCTGCGCCGAGTGCCGCTCCAGTCCCCCGTCCAAAAGCTTAATCAGGGCGAGCGTGCGCCTCATCCTCTCTGCCCCCATCGTCGTGCCTGGCCCGCCAGGATTCGCGCCCGCGACTGTGAGTTCAACAGGCGCCGAGTCGCTGAGCAGCGCGTGCAGTGCCAGCTCTTCGACTGCGCAGCACGACGGAGCCGAGCACCCATGCCGTCGCTTTGACGAGTGAGAAGAGCAGTGTGACGAGCGTCGCATCTTCGAGCAGCATGACAGGGACCAGCACCCGGGCACTGAACTGTACGACGGGATCAAGCACCACAGCGTCGCGCGCCAGGACGGGGTTCAGCGCCGGCAGCCGTGCGCCCGCGAGGGTGGCGCGCGGTGCAGCGAGCGCCGCGCCTCCGAACGGCGCGGCCAGGGCCACGGCGACACCGTGCGGCGCGATGAAATTGAGCGCCGCTGCGTCGGACAGCACGATGGGCCCGGGCCCCAGAGCGCGGCTATGGCCAGCGTCTCGACGCTGGGAACGCGACGCAGTCGAGCACCGCGCCGATGGGCAGTGCCATGGGGTCCGGAGCCCGCCAACAGCCTCGCCGCATGGGGGGCAAGCAGTGCGAGCGGCGCTGCGTCCTCGAGCAGCGCGACAGGGGCAAGCGCCTCGACGTTGGGCGGTGCGACGGGGGCAAGCGCCGCGACGTTGCGCGTCGAGGCGATGCCCAGCGCCGGCGACCTCGCATGCGCGAGTGAAACGAGCAGCGCCGCGAGCATCGCTGCTGGGAGCAGCGCGCCTGGGACAATCGCGACGCCGTCCCGCGAGGCCATGGCGAGCGTTGTGACGTCGAGCTGCGCGACGGGGCGTAGCTACATCAGTCCCGCGCGAGCAGCGCGACTGGCGCCTGGGCGCGGAGCAGCGCGACGGCGCCGTGTGGTACGACGATGGGCGGCGCGGCGGTATCCGGCGCCACCGCGCCCCGCAGGGCGTCTGTCACCAGCGCGCCTGCTGCTGGCGCCTCGACGCTGAGCTGTGCAGAGCGTGGCGCGCCGCGGCCTCGCGCGATGCGGCGGGCGCCAGCGCCGGCGAACAGCGCCGCGAGGTCCATGGCCAGCTCGCCAGAGCTCTCGTGCATGGGCGCCTGCAGCCTCGCACTGTGCAGCGCAGCGGAGTCGGGTGCCGCCGCTGCGCGCGGCGCGGCGGGCCCCGGCGTCGGCAGCCCCGCGCCGCTCGCGCCGCGCGGGGCGAGCGGTGCAGTGGATGCCGCGCCCGCCGCGGCGCCGAGAAACGCGACGCCGCGCTGTGCGGGGTCCTTCGCCAGCGGCCTCGCGCCGACGAGCGACGCGACCAGCGCGGCGACCGCCGTGTCCAGCGGCGCGCCAGGGGCCATAAACTCGGCGCGGAGCAGCGCGGAGAGCAGGCATCCCGACGTTGCCCGCCATGACCGGGCCCAGCAGCAGCAGCCCCACACCTGCGAGTGGGGCGAGCAGTGCAACGGCACCGTGCGTTGCGACGGAGCTGGGCGCCGCGTCTCGAGCAGCTCGACTGGGCCTAGCACAGGCGCCCCCGCGTCTACGAGCAGTGGGGCGAGCGCCGTGTCTGGGGGCAGAACGTCTGGGGCCGGCTCCGGGTCGCAGGGCGGCGCGACGGAGGCGAAGACCATCGCGACGCGCGCGGCCGCATGGCGCATCGGCAGTCGTGCACCTGCGTGTTAGACGACCGCTGCTTCGAATGCCGCGGCTTACAGCGGCGCGCCTGTATTCGCCGCCTGGGCGCCGAGCAGCGCGACGGCGCTGGGCGCCGCGAAGCTGAGTGCTGCGACGCGACCCGGTACTTGCAACCTCGCACCTACGAGGGCGAGCAGTGCAGCGAGCGCCGCGCTTCCGTGCAGCGCGGCAGGGGCCGGCGCTTCGACGCTGAGGGCCGCGGTGGCACCGAGCGTCGCGCCGCGGCGCATCAAGGCGGGACTCAGCATCAATAGTCCCGCAGATATGAATGTGGCGCGACATGTGCAACATGCAGCGCCCCTGCGAGCGGCGCCTAGCGGGCCGCGGCGGCGCCATTGCGACGTCGAGCAACGCGGCGGGGCCCCGCCTCAATGGCCATGCACATGCGAGCGAGATGAGCTGTGCATCGGGCATCGTGCTTGTCAGCAGCGCGTCTGCGACTGGTGATGAGACGCTGTGCAGCGCGACGGAGTCGAGCGCCGCTGCGTTGGGCAGTGCGCCGGGGCCCAGTGCCGCAGCGTTTCTAAGCTGCGCGTCGGCCGCCGGCGCCCCGACGCTGAGCGGCGTCAGGGGGTGGGGCGCCGCAGCGACGAAAAGGTGCGACGGTTGTCAGCGCCGAAGCCTTCGCCGTTTCGAGCGTGGCGAGCAGTGCGACCCCGGGTCCGCGGCCAGCCCGCCAGGGTTTGCGCGCGTGGGCAGCAGCAGTTTGCATCTCTTCGCGACCGGCGGTGCGACCTGCATCGCCGCCTTCGGCAGCGCCCGCGTGACCGACGGTCGCGCGTCCACTAGTGGGGCGCGCGCGGGGCGGTTCGGCGTGCTGAGCAGGGCACCTGGGCGGAATGTTGTGCGCCGCCACAGCCGCTGCGAGATTGCGACGGGGCGGCGTGGGGCGCCCCTGGTTGCGGTCTGCCGCCAGGAACCCGCCTTGGGCGTCTGGCCTAATGTGCCCTAGGATGCAAGCGGGAGTTGCGCCATGCGGAACGTAGATCACCCCTGGCTGCCCGCCTCTGGCCCCCCCCCGCCGCCCAGATGGCGCGCGGCCTCGCGCCCCCAGCACCTTCGACTGGAGTGGGGCCCCGCGTGGGCATGGTGACGCGTCGCGGACTGGGTCCCTGGGAGGACCAGCGCCGTCGCCGCGACCCCGCGGGCTGGGCCGTGCTGCCGCGCGCCCAGACCTTCAGCGCAACGCGCCCCGACAGGCCGACCGCGTGAGGCCAGCGGCAAAGCGGCCTGCCCACCCTCCGCCGGGCGAGGATAAGATAGCCCCAAATCGTTTCCGGCTCATGGCAAGGCAGCCTAGCCACTCGCCGCGCGGTCAGTGCGGCCAGCGTAGTCAACCCACTTGTAGGCGATGAAGCCAGAGTGAAGGCATCACGGCCTCACGGCTCCAGCCAGCATTGCCTACCAGAGTGGAAGGCGCCCGACTGACTCCAGTGGGGGCCAGCGAGCGGAGGGGCGCCTCGCAACGCCTCGCGGCCAGCCGTCAACCTGCCGATCCCGACCGCAGGATTGCCCGCGCTGCCAGCACCGCGACGACGCATCAGTGTGCTACCAGACTTGGTCATGAGCTGCGTAGCGCGCAGATGCAGTCTGGGCCCCGTTTTGATATATCCCAAAAGCACAGGCCGCCTGGATCGCCCGTCATGAGACCCGATCGTCCGCTCGCCTCGGGGCCTCTCCAAAGGCGAGCCACCAGGCACGCTTCGATGCTCAACGATAGCGTATCAGTGCTTTCCTCACCATGGCGGACTGCGCTTCGTGAGGTGCCAGCAACTTTTCGGGAGCTATTCTCGGATCGCCGCAGGCCGCTTCCCTTTCCAGTCGGCCCCCACACGGACTGCGCCATGGGAGCGGATGCCCCATTCCGTGATCGCACAGGCGGACAGGCGGCACTTCCCGCTTCAAGAGGTTGGCGCGGAAGGCGCTTGCCGCCTTCGCGCCAGACGGATTTGGACCCGCCGAACTTGCTGCGTTTTTTGGTGTTTTTTTCTGTTTCGTTTTTGTTTTTATTTTTTTTTCTTTCTCTCTCTCCCTCTTTCTCTTTCTCTCTCTCTCTCTCTCTTTACTCTTATCTCCCGTCGTCTCCTCTCCATTCCTCTCCTGTCCTGTCCTGTCTCCTCTCTCCTCTCTCCTGCTCCTGCCCTCCCTTGTCCTCCCCCCTTCCCTCCTTCCCGCCCCCCCCTCCCACTGCCTCCCGCCCTCCCCTCCCCCCCTCCTCTCTGCCCCCCTATTTCCTCCCGCGACCCGCGACCGGCAGCCTCGAGCTTGTGGGTCAGCAGCGGCGGCACCGGGCAGAGGGGGGGGCGGGCGGGGCAGCACCTTCGAGCGTTCGGGGGCCGGGCCGCCCGGGGGCGGGGCCGAGCTTCGGGGGGGCAGGACCGGGGAGAGGAGGAAGGACATGAAACGGACGGGGAGGGGGAGGATGGGGGGGGAGGATGGGGAAGGCGGGGCGGAGGGGGGAGGAGGCGGGGAGGAGGAGGGGGGGAGGAGGAGAGGGGGAGGAGGGGGGAGGAGGAGAGGGGGGGGGGGGCGGGAGGGGGGGGCGGGGGACGGGCCATCGAGGCAAACGCGAGCTAGGAGGATGGGGGCTCAGGCGGGGAGGCTCGGGGAGGAGGGGAAGAAGAGGGGGAACAGTAAGGGATAGGTGGGGTTGGCTCCCCGTCGGGTGGCCGAAATACCATCCCTGCTTCATGGCGGTGTTCACAGGCCTCTGAAGAGAGATGCGTCCAGACCCGCGAATGGGCGTTGCGGTCCCACAGTTTGGGCGCGAACGTGCCCGCGAAGCACCCCTGGGTGACCCCCTCTTGGGCGGCACAAGTGCTGGAGTATGAGCGGATCTGTTTATGGGCGGATCTGAGCAGGGGTGTGTCTGATTACCCGTCGTTCGTTGAAAGTAAGTCCTGAGGGATTCCCAGATCCCAATCTACTTTAGGCGCCTTCCTACTTCAAGAGTCGAGCGGTCTTCCCTCTCTTCCCTCCTGTTCAGGGGGCGGGCGGAAATCCAATCCATTTTCAACGACTTCCTGCTTCATGGTTCTACCTACTTCTTCCGACCGACTTGTATGGGTGAACCGGTGAGTCTGAGTACGAGTGTCTCTGAAAAGTCGGAGTACACATTAGGCGGAGTATGAGTGAGTTTGAGTACGAATATGCGTACGAGTGAGTCTGAGTATGGCTAAGTTTGAGTTAGTCAAATCGTTACTGAGTTCAAGCATGGGTGAATCCGAGTGTGAGTGAGTGTGAGGGTGAGTCTGAGTGTGAGTCGCTTTTGGGGTGGAAAGGAGGAGGCAGCAGGAGTGAGGCTGAGGGGATTCACTGATACGACATTATGATCAAGATGCACACATGCACCACTGGCGAGAGAATCGCTGACGGGGAAGGAGGGAGAAAGGGGGCAGACATCGTCCACACGTAGGAGTGGCAGTTCGCCGGCGTGTTCTCTGGTGCGCGGCCTTCTGGGGGCGCAGGGGTGCCAAACCCAAGCGCGCAGGCCGCTACTGCCGCATGGCATGCAACGATAGAGAAGCTGTGCCCCAAAGGTCTGCACGAACGAAATGGGCACGGAAGGAATGGGTACAATGCCCAACAGCAGTTCCTGTTCATTTTGAACATGACTCGCTGTCCGCGCCGCCGCGGCCTGTGCTCATTTGAGACAGAAGGCCGCCTGCCCGACAGCGGCCGCTGTTGCTTTGGGACAACATTTGCTGTTGGGCATTGCACCCATTCTTTCCGTGCCCATTTCGGGCGTCCAGAAAAGGTAAAGGTTGGCCATCGGGAGGGAAAAAAACACACAGACACAATTAATCGTCGACCCCCGGGAAAATATGGGAAAATATGGGAAGTGGGGGGGAAGACAAAAACCCAGAAAAGATGAGAAAATATGGGGAATCCTTTTATTTGTGTGTATATTTATTTGTGTGTCCCAGGGCCCCTTCAAGCCAGGGCTGCCCCCTGCGCGTCGCCAGCACGCGGCCCGGCCGTGGAGACGCTCGGAGGTGCCCGCCCGCCCGCCGCGCGCGGAGCCCTCCTGGCCAGCCCGCGCCGGCACGGGCCGAGGCCTCTCCGCTCGCCTTTCGGGCCGGACGACAGGGGGGGATTGGGAAAGGGGGTCGGAGGTGGATAGACCCCCTACCCTGACGCGTCGATCGAGGAATTGGCCGTTTTCGGTTCGCGAGAGGGCGTCGCGGCCGTCATTTTTGCGGGTCCAGATCCGTCGGTTTCGGTCCCAGGCCGTTTTCACTAAGGGGAGGTTTACTAAAGGGAGGTTTGTCCACCGCCGAGGGGGGGTAAAAAATCTGCTGCATGCAGCTGGTTTCGGCCCCGCCGAGGGCCCCTTCCTCGATGCATGGCCGCCTCCGGCGCCGGGAGGCGCCAGGAAAATCGGCTACGCGAGCTGATTCTCACCCCCCCCCTTTGCTATCCCCCCCTTCCGTCTGGCCCGAGCATTCCAGCGCACCGCGCGCTCCTTCCCCGATGGCCATGTTCCTGGACGCGCGGTTCAGCGAGGTCGGGCAGATGAGGAGGGTCGGCCGGCCATAACTGGGGGAACTGTGGCCCTCCGCCGCTATCGGCTTGGGCACCCCTCTCGAGATTTTTGGTGCGATGGGTCCCCGGAGGGGGGGGGTGAGGAGAACAGTTCCTCCAATTGTGACTGGTCGGGGGGAGGGATGGAGGATGAGGAGGATGAGGACCAGGGTAGATCCAGGATGCATGACCGATGCCGCTATACTCCCTCCCGTCCCAAGTCCCCTTCTTATAAGTCCCTCCGAGCATTCCTTATCACTAGAGGAGCGCCCCCTTGAACGACGCGCACGCTATGAGCCTGCCATTCAGGCGAGAGGCCCGTCTTGATTCCTATTTCTCAAGCGAATAGTTCCATGTGCGAATTGTATTAGTTCAGGGAGTTGTCCAGCGAGAGCTCAACCTGAAAGACCTGTCCCCGTTCCGTGTGAGTGTCGAGCATGCTTACACTTCATGGCGTCCATGTCGAGGAAGTCTCAGGCGAGAACTACATCCTGAAAAAAGGACCGCCCTTCATCCGTGTATCTGCCGCATGTTTTCAAGAATATGGTTGCCAGGTTTAGGGACGTTCAAATGATAACCTCACTTTGCAACATCGTCCTCGATCCTTGCACCTGTTACAAGCTTTGAAGGCGAATGTGCGCGGCGCTGAAGCGGACACCGCATCTTGAAAACGAGCCGTCCTCTATTTCTGTAGTTGCCGCGTACGTTACTCCTCCCCCAAATGGGCGGAGTTTGGATGACGGAATAGGCAATCTGTCAAACCACTTGTGCCCAGGGGGCTGGTGGGATTAGAGGATATCTTAAGCGGGAGCCCCCCATTTTGACAACGAGCCGCCCTACATCCATGCAACTTGGGAACGGATTTAAGGCGATTGTGTGCGGCGCCAAGGCGAGAACCCCATTGTGAGAACGCCCTGTGTGATTCATCATTGTAGTGTTTCGATATGTTCAAGACGAGCTTGCGCAGCTTCAGTCTTGGTAGACCGCTGCATGCATTTTAGAATTGTTCAACGCACCCCAGTCTGCAACGTGGAAGTCTCAGGCGAGACGCCTAGCCCACACTAGCGACAGCTGGTGTTGCGACAGTGAGGAGTGATTTACAAAGAAGGGGGTGGGGAAGGAGGAGGATTAGGAGGAGGAGGATGAGGAAGCGGGGTGGGAGGGGAGGAGAAAGAGGAGGATGATGAGGAGGAGAACGAGGACGAGGACGAGGAGGAGGAGGATGAGGTGGAGGAGGAGGAAGAGGAGGAGGAATGGACTTCGTAGAGGAGGAGGAAGATGAGGTCCCAGGAGGATCAGGAGGAGACGGGATGAGGTTATCAGAGGGAAGGAGGAGGAGGAGGAGGAGGAGGAGGAGGAGGAGGAGGAGGAGGAGGAGGGAAGGACTAGTAGTTGGAGCAGCACGTGGATGCAGAGAATGAGTGAGGAGGGGGAGAGGGATGCGCAGGAGGGGGAGGGTGCAGACGGAATGAAGGGAAAAGATGATAACGCCGAGGAGGGGGATCAGGAAGTCCAGAGGAGATGGAGGACAAGGACGAGGAAGATGCGCAAGAAGAGGCGGCGGGAGGAACGGAGGAGGGATGATAAGTAAAGGGAAGACGAAAGGCCCAAACGCGGCCCATGGCAGAAGTCGCAGGTGGACCGGTATCAGCCAGGTGAGTGGGGATGCCGCTGGAGGGTCCGTGAATCCTCGCCCTCCCTGGGCGCGCTGTGGCGTGGAGGCCCGCCCTTGGCTGGGCGGAGTGCGCCTTCCCGTGGCAAGCTGCGCTCCGGTGCGTGGGGGTTTCTATTTCCGGTGTTGCGCACAGCGTGATCGCACCGCGATCTCGCAGGCGTGAAGGTACGGAACCTGGCACCGAAAGGAGTTTTCGTTTGCGTTCTGGGGTGCTCTCAGAACTGTGGATGCACTCCCTGCAGAAAGGCCTTGTTCCCAAGACATGCTCAATGCATGTTGTTTGCGCTGGGAGCACAATCAATAATGCTGATGCTCCCCCAACCTCATTCCCTCCTGCTCCCCTTCCCTCCTCGTCCACTGCTCCTCATCGGGCACCTTTCCCCCCCTTCATCCTCTTCTTCCTTCTCCTTCCTTCCCCCCCCCTCTCGTGCTCCCTCCTCCTCACCCCTCACCCCTTCCTCACTCTTCACTTCTCCTCCACCTGCTTCCATTCTCGTCCTTCCCCCTCTCGTTGTTGTCTGGGGTGGGGATACCCCCTTCCCAGTTATTCCCGCTGTTTAGTGGCGCTCGCTGCGCAGAGGCGCTCGGCAGCGCGATGCTCGGCAAGGCCAACCCGGCAGAAGTCAAGGAGGCGATCGCCGCAATGGAGGCGCAGACGACTGCCACGGTCGCGCGGGAGGATAATCACGGCGACGACGATGACAACGACGACGACGATGATGATGATAATGTTGATGAGGAGGATGATGATGGTGATGATAATGCTGTTAATGATGATGCTGATGCTGATGCTGCTGATGATGATGAGGATGATTATGATGTGGATGAGGATGAGGATGCGAATGCTGATATTGCTGATGATGATTATGATGGGCACGATTATGAGGATGATGGTGACGATGCGGATGATAGCGAACGGTTGTGATGCTGATGCTGATGACGATGATGCTACTGCTGCTGCTGCTCATGATGACGATGATTGATGATGGATGGTGGATTGATGGATGGACGGGTCCATGGATGTATGGATGGATTGATGGATGGGGACTGGTCTAATGGTGATTGTGATTGATGATGGATGATGGTGATGGTGATGGTGATAGTGATGATTTTGCTGCTGCTGATGATGATGGTGTTGCTGCTGATGTTGAGGATGATGATGGTGATGCTGATGATGCTGATGCTGATGCTGATGCTGTTGCTGCTGCTGAAGAGGAGGAGCATGTTAGCGACGATAATGATGATAATGGTGATGCTGATGATGCTGATGATGAGGATGATGAGGATGCTGCTGCTGATCATGATGACGCTGATGCTGATGCTGATGCTGCTTCTGAAGAGGAGCAGGATGATGATGCTGCTGCTGATGCTGCTGCTGCTGATGATGCTGATGATGATGCTGCTGATCATGATGATGCTGATGCTGATTCTGCTGCTGTTGCTGACGATGATAGTGATGGTGTTGATGATGACGATGATGGTGATGATGATGCTGATTCTGATGTTGCTGCTGCTGCTGATGATTCTGATGATGGTGATGGTGATGCTGGTGATGGTGATGGTGCTGCTGCTGCTAATGATGATGCTGATGACGATGCTGATGGTGATGATGTTGATGTTGACGACGATGGTGACGATGCTGATGATGACGGTGATGATGACGACGATGATGTTGAGTATGATGATGATGATGCTGCTGATGATGCTGATGCTGATGATGATGCTGATGTGCTGCTGCTGCTGCTGATGATGATGATGATGATGATGATGGTGGTGGTGGTGATGATGATGATGCTGGTAATGATGATGCTGATGATGATGATGATGATGATGATGATGATGATGATGATGATGATGATGATGATGATGCTGATGATGATGATGAAGCGGAGGAGGAGGAGGAGGAGGAGGAGGAGGAGGAGGAGGAGGAGGAGGAGGGCGGGAGGGCGGGAGGGAGGCGGGAGGGAGGAGGGACGCGGGAGGAGGAGGAGGAGGAGGAGGAGGAGGAGGAGGAGGAGGAGGAGGAGGAGGAGGAGGAGGAGGAGGAGGAGGAGGAGGAGGAGGAGGAGGAGGAGGAGGAGGAGGAGGAGGAGGAGGAGGAGGAGGAGGAGGAGGAGGAGGGGGGGAGTGTGGTTGGCTGAGCAAGGAGAGGGAAGGAGAGGGGAACGCCTTGTCTCTGACTCCTCCCTCGTCCCCCCTATCTGGGTCGGATCCTCACTTTCCTCCCTTCTGCAATCCAATACGTGCTGGTCGTTTGGGTCTGGAGGTCTGCACGCAGACGCCGTGCCTCACGCGGTGTTCCAGGCTTCAGTTCATGGCGAGAGCTCGCCTGTTGCATTGTGTGTGTGTCCCCGCATTTTGCGCTTGAGCGGCGTGTCTCCTCCCTGCCATCCACGCACGGATGTGCTGTATGGCGCCCCTCCTTCTTATCATGCCTTGCCATGTCGGGCAGGCCCCCTCTGGCTCGCGCTCACCTCACTGCCATCCACGCCAGGACGTCCTGTATGGCGGTAGGTGCAGCGGAGTCCAAAGCGATTTTTGAGAACTTTCGCTTCGTTTTCGCTGTACTTTTCACTTGCGCCGCTGTTCCGCGCTTCGTACTTTCACTGTCTCCGCCTCGTCGCCGCGCGCGAGGCCGCTACCGCCAAAAAGTGTGTGTGTGTGCGTGTGTGTGTGTGTGTGTGTGTGTGTGTGTGTGTGTGTGTGTGTTTGTGTGTGTGTGTGTGTGTTCGCGGCTTGCCAAACGCCCCAGTGTTTTTCATTATCCTCATTCTCGGCCACACAGCCCAGACGGGCATGGGCGAAACCTCTTCCGTTCATTCCCCTCCCAAGATTTCTAACGTATTGACGTAAGCAATGCTTGAATCGAGAACGCCAGCGGTGTGTCACCGGCCGCTCCCTGGAAGTTTGACGTATCTGGTCCGCAGTCGCGTGGAGGCAGTTTTGAAGCCTCTGTGGGGGCCCTTGGACGCCGTCTGCCGCCGACCCATTGTCCGGGGTGGGCCGCGACCTTGCGCTCCACTCCCCTGCCTCCTCCCCGTCGCTGTAGGGGTGCGTTCTGAAACTTTGCGGTCTTCTCTCGGGGCACTTTTGGTGCCAAACTGGGTCGTGGACAAACGCCTCTTCGGGGGGCGGGTTCGTGGGGTCCCCCGGGAGGCCTCTCGGGGGCCTCGCGGCGTCATTCTGTGTGACCTCCTGCTGCCTTCGGGGATCGTTTTTTTTTGGGGGGGGGGGGGACCCCTGGGGGCCTCTTGGGGGCAGGTGCGGCACCCGCGAGAATATCATGACATTCACTGTTCGGGGCCTCCTGTGGTATGATTTTGAGCACTCCCTGGGGTGGGGAAGAACGAGGGAAAGGGGGAACGGAGGATGAGGATGAGGATGAGGAGGAGAGGAGATGGAGGGAGAAAAGGAAAAAGAGGAGGAGGAGGAGGAGGAGGAGGAGGAGGAGGAGGAGGAGGAGGAGGAGGAGGAGGAGGAGGAGGAGGAGGATGGATGGACAGTTTCTGGAGGGCACGCACTGGGTGTGTTACGAGTGCCACTATGCGCCGTGCGGTATCTGCGCAGAGAGGCCTACGCACGCGGTCGTCCACAACAGTTGGGTGACGAAGAAATATAATTAAGGGGCAATCGGACGCCCCGCACCTGGAAGTGATGGAACGTGATGACAGAGTACAGAAGCAGCGGGCTTGCAAGAAGTGCAAGCACCCGTCGTGTTCGTCACACGAGCATCCGGAGCTGGCGCCGCCAGCGTGCGCGAAGACCCGTTATATGAATCGGGGGTGGACCGACCTCCTAACAGTGACACGTCGATTAGTGAATTGTCCGTTTTCGGTTCTCGAGAGGGCGCCGCGGCCGTTATTTCCCAGGCTTGCGCCCGCCAGGTTTGGGCCCGAGGTCGTTTTCACTAAACCACGTTTTGCTAAAGGGAGGCCTGTCCATCCCCGAATGAAACGACACAACAGGTTCAAGACCTGGGTCTGTCAAGCTTGCGAGGAGGTCTGGCGTCGGGGGGTGGAGCAGCTGGCGGCCCTGGTCGTGCGAGCAGGCGACTTGCCCCGGGAGTCCGCGGCGGGGGAGCCTGCAGAGCACACGGCAGCCGCTGCGCGGGCGAGGCGGCAGAGAGGAGCACAGCCGAAAGGCGCCTGGGCAAGGGCGCGTGTGCAGGAGTCGGGAGAAGTGCCGCGTTGGGCGCGGACGCGCGGCGGCGGCGAGTGGCTCCAGCGCTGCAGAGGCGTCCCACGCACTGCGGAGACGGCAGAGCGCGTGCCCCGACACCTGGCAGCGCGGGCGGAGCGCGGAGTGCGGGGTCCGCGGCCGCGTGGGCGGCCGAGCAGCGGGCAGCTCGTGAGCAGGGCCAGTTGTCCACGACGCGGGTGCAGGAGCTGGAGCGGATCCCAGGCTGGGCCTGGACGATGTGCCCCGACGCGGCGTGGCATGAGCGTCTGGCAGAGGTTCTGCGCGTCGTCGCGGTGGCGGGGCACGTCCCGAAGCAGTGCCAGTCAGCGGCGCGCTGGGTGGACAACCAGAAGCGAGGGAAACAGACATTAGCGAAGGCGCAGGTCGAGGAGTTAGAGATCATCCCGGGGTGGTCGTGGTCGTTGCGGGCCAGCAGACTGGATGAGTGGCAAGATCGACTGGCGGACGTCACTCGCATCTTCCGTCTGGCAGGACACCTTCCACGACAGCACCAGAAAATGAAGCGCAGTCTACTTGAGTACGAGAAAACCGCGGTGTGGGTGATGATAGAGAGGCAGGCGAAACAGAAAGGCAGACTGATAAGACGCATGTGGAGGCATTATAGCAGATCCCACACTGGGCGGAGGCTGCGTCGAGGGAGTCTGGGAAAGCGAAGCCAGCCCCGAATACTAATAGAAATAATATGAAGAATAATAATATCACGAATGATATTACTAAGAAGTAGAAGAACGAACAGACGAATAATATGAATACTAAGCAGTACACTAAACTAATAACGCCAATACTAATCTTTCGACTAAAACGAACCATAAAAAACAATTAGCGCTGCGACTGGATGACGCAGTGTTGACGCTGAGCGGCATCGCCGCGGAAAATAATGCCCCCGCCGCGCCCGTCCTGAACGAGCAGAACGAGAAGGAGTTGGGCGAAAGAAGGACGAGGAGGAGCAGCAAGAGGCGGAGGAAAAAAGATGCACATTTAGCATCTGGGGGGCCCGTCCTTGGGGGCCGTCTGGGGGCTTAGAAGGAAGCAGATTTGAAGCCTCGTTGGGGTCGTTTGAGGGCGTCGGGGGTCCTGTCGAGTCTCGAGGGAGCTTCCAGGGGCCTACTGGGGACTTTATGGGGCGTGCTGGCGGTCTCTGAGGCCCCTTTGGGGCTCTTTGGGGCCGTTTGGGGCCCTCTTTGGCCCCTATGGGGTCTCTTTGGAGCCTCCTGGGGCCTATTGGGGGCTTCTGTGCGGCGTGCTGGCGGTCTCTGAGATTCTTTTGGGGGCAGAAGCTAGACATATAATTTTGAAGAGTTGGCTTTTGGGCCCCTGTAGGGCATTCTTGGGACCGTCTTGGACGCCTCTTGGGCTGTCTCTGGGTGATTTTGGGCCATGTTAGGGTCCTCTTTGGGGCTCTGGTCCATGCTCGGGGCGATCTTTGGGGGCTTGTAGGCTCGCCGTGGACGCTCAGAATCCCCCAAATCACACATGGTAGAAGTATACGTTTTCTTTTAGGAATGGGACGATTTTTGGTCTCGGGGCCTTCTTGGAAAGCCTCTTGAAGCCCTCTTTCGGCGTCTTGGGAGCCTCGTTAACCGTCTTAAGGCCATCTTGTGCGTCTTGGGGCGGTCTGTCGGCGACGTGGAGCCTTCTTGGACCCCTTTGGAGATCGTCTTGGAGCTCTTTGGGGTCGTCTTGGGGATTTCTTGAAAAGCTTCGCCTCGGGGGTGTCTTCGAGGGACCAGCGACAGAGTGGATGCCCAGAGGAGGGACTTCAGGGAGATTTTTACCAGGCCCAGGCGAATCCTACCAGGCACTTTGTCAGAGTGGTCTCGCACGGCCCAACCCGCAGGGCGGGGGCGGCCGGATTTTCTAACGTACTGACATAAGCAATGCTTGAATTTGTCACCGTGTTCGGCCTCTGGGGGCGGCCCTGGGACCGTCAAAAAACAACATAGGATGAACAACCAGCCCCAGGGGACAGGCCGAGGCTTCTTCTGGGGACCCCGTATCGAACCACACATTCATCTGATCTCTGGGTCTTGTTCGCCTCCCTCTCCTCCTCCTGGCGCTCCTCCCCCTCTCCTGCCTCCCCCCCCCTCGTCATGCTCCCCTGAACCCCGGACCTCCCCCGGAAGGGAGGATGCGCCCCAACGTTTAGTCGGACCAGTCCCTCCCTCTACAGGGGGAATGCTCTAAAATAGTCAAAAGATAGCCTGGGGACGATTTTTTTTTTTTTTTTTTTCTTTTCTCTTTTTCCATTTTTGAGTATTATTGGGGCATTTTTGGGGAATTTTTAAGTTTTCGTCCAAAATCGGCCTGCAGGGGGACAGGCCCGACTTGACCCCAACGTCCGCGCCCTTGGCAGTGCTGCGCCGCGGCCCGCGAGGTGGGCTCCGAGATGTGCTGGCCCGTGGACTGGTTCCCCGAGCACCTGCCGATAGAGTCGGCGACTGGCAACTCGATCCCCGGGGGGCGGCACCGGGGGCCCCCACTCGGGGGCGGAAAAGAGGGGGGTGATGACTAGGGGGGGGTGGATGTCATGGCGTGGGCCATGATCTTTCCCCAGATTTCATGGCGCATCTTATTATTTCATTACGTCCCTGGCCCCCCCCGCTGGGCCGCGCACATGCCGCCGGTCATGATTTGCACCCCCCCCTCTTGGACACCCCCCTCTCGGCCGCTCCCGACCCACTCTTCGGGATGACCCAAGAGGGGTTCCAGCTGAAAGGGGTGGTGCAATAGATTTGGGGCAACTGCACTGCAAGAGTGTTGCGCAGGAGAACGGTCTCGCATTGTATTGCAGGTAATGTGTGGCACGCGACAATGCAGCGATACATCTGCGCCCCGAAACGTATTGCACGGCCCACTCCCCCGCAAATCTATTACACCAAATCTATTGCGCCACTCCCCAGTCGCTGGACCCCCTTGTGGGTCAACCCGAACTCTGAAAGGCCACGGGGCGCCAATTGGACGGTCCGCGCAGATTTCTGGGATCTGCGCTGGACCCCCCTCCCTGCCGCACGGAGCTCGCCAGGGACGGCGCCGGAGGCGCCGCCAGGGGGGTTTCCAGCGCAGAGCCAAGATGTCCGCGCGGGTCGTCAAAAGTTTATGTTCATGCAGTTTCTGGTTCTTCCTCCAGAGGAGGGGGGCGGTCAGGGGCAGGAGGCGGGAGGGAAGGCAGAGCGGGACATGGGACGGGGGAGGGGGGTAGAGGAGGAGGAGGGGGAGGAGGACTGGGACCAGAGTAAACACAAGATGTCCCAACTCTCCTCATCAGTAGTCCCTATAGGCATTCTATCTTCATTGCGCGAAGCAGGCCCCTTGAAAGATGAGCGAACCACAGACCACAAGCTCACGATTTAGGCGTAATCTTCCCGTTTTGAAGAAGCTGCTGTCCATCCTTCGAGCTATAACAAAAGGCACGCGTGCCAAGGATCATACAATCACGGATGTGGGACACTGGGATATGGAGGTGGCGCCAACCTCTGGTAGTTTCGGGGAAGCGCGCGAGTGCTGCGACGCGCTGAGCTATGGTGTGAAGAACTTGGTATGTCACTGTGAGCTAGTGGTGTCTCTATGACTCTTCGGGGCCATGGTGCTATTGGGGGTCTCTTGGGCTCTTCGGGGGTCTGTGTGGGCGCGTCTGGGGCTCTTTTGGGCCGTCCTGGGGCACTCTTGAGCTGTCTCTTGGGCCTTCTTGGCCCAGCGTGGGGACTCGTGGGGGTCCAGGGGCACGGCCGGACCCAGGGGGGCATGGTCGGTCGGTCGGCAGAAGCAGGCGGGGGGGCCATGGGGCGGAGGGCGGAGGGAGGAGGGAGAAGGAGGAGGAGGAGGAGGAGGAGGAGGAGGAGGAGGAGGAGGAGGAGGACGAGGGGAGGGGGGCACGGACGGTCGGCGGGGGCCCACGAGGCGGAAGGCGGAAGCACGCTCGGCCGGTCGGTCGGAAGGAGCAGGCGGGGGCCACGAGGCGGATGGGGCGGGGCACGGTCGGTCGGTCGATCGGAATCAGCAGACGGGGGCCACGGGGCGGAGGGGCGCAGGGGGGAGCCAGGGGGTCGGGAGGGCATGGTCGGGCAGGGGGGGGGGGCACGGTCGGTCGGTCGGTCGGAGTACGCAGACGGGGCCACGGGGCGGAGGGGTGCGGGGGGGCAGGCAGGGCGCGCGGGGGCGGCACGCACCCAGGCCACACCCTAGCACGTATCCCAGCACACGGAGGCAGCACAGAGCCCTGCATACATCCCAGCAAAAGAAGACAGCACACGTCTCAGCACACATCCCAGCACGCATCCCAGTCCAGCGCGCATCCCAGGCACGGTCGGTCGGTCGGTCGGTCGAAATAGTGCAGTGCGAGATCACACCGGTAGGTGTGACAATTAAGTCGGGCGTGTCCCTGTACAGGAGGCGTATTCAAAGATGGAAAACAAAACTCGGGGGACGATTTTCTGAGTGTTTGTTTCGTGATCATTTTGATGAATTATTCTGAATATTTTTATTTTTTCTCTCAGAATCCGCCTGTAGGAGGACACGCCCGACCTAAGGCTATGAGGAACGCGACATGGTGGGGACACAGAGTTTCAACAAGCATCCAGCGACGGCTCCAATTTGAAGTGGGATCGCCCTCCATCCGTGGCCATGCACTCGGATGCAGTCTTGAGCGGGAGCCCATTCTGCAGAGGAGCCGGCCTCTACCAGCGTAAGTGCGGCACTGCCTTCTCATTGTGGTAGTTCATGCTGCGGGAATCTCTGGCGGGACCCTTCAGGAGGGGGAGGAGGAGGAGGAGGAGGAGGAGGAGGAGGAGGAGGAGGAGGAGGAGGAGGAGGAGGAGGAGGAGGAGGAGACTCTCACTTCGATGAGTAGCTTCCCTCCGGCCGTGAGACTGGCGGCCACGTTTGCGCCGAGTGCGTGCGGCGCCAGGGCCAGGGCCCCACTCTGTAGAGGCGCCGCCCTCCGCCCGGGCCATCGTGGGGAGCTGTTTCGGGCGAGAGCGCGCGCGGTGCCGAGGCGGTGGGTCCTTTGAGAGAACGCGAGTCGCCCTTCATTTGTGCAGCTGCTCACCACCCACCAAACCACCCCAACCCAACCCGAAGGCCTCAAATTGACCTCCATTTCTAGTGTGGGGGGGGGGGGGTCGGGGAACATGGAGAAAACACATATGGAAGCCGTACCCCCCCCCCCAACCCGAAATTCGGGTCTTCGGGTTGGGTGGGGGTGGTCTGGTAGGTAGTTATTGCCGGTGGAGATTTCTTCCACCTCTGATCAGGAGGGGAAAAACACAAAACACACACAGACACAATTCATCGGCGATTCCCCGGAGAATATGGAAAACATGGGAAGTGGGGGGGAAGACAGAAGCCCAGAAGATGTGGGAAGACATGGGGGATCCTTGTATTTGTGTGTATTTATTTGTGTGTCCCAGGGCCCCTTGAGAGATTGCTTCCACGTCTGAGTGGCCTTTCCTTCCCCCGCCCTCCGCGGCCGCCTCGTCTGTCCTCTCTCTCCCCGCTCCTGCACGCTGGCCAATCTTCGCTCCTCGGTGCCCCCGTTCATCTCTAGCGCTGGTGCAGCCAACTCTGCCTCGCCGCCGACGGAGAACGTGTAGCTGCTGGTTTTTGAGACGAGCGTGCGTGGCGCAAACGTGGGAAGCCCAATGTGAGCACGGTCTGCTCTCGATCCGTGCAGCCGTGGGGCATTCCTTTCGTCAACCTCGTGGACGGTGAGCATCGTAAAGTGCAACGCCTGGAGCGCCTTCCTGACACATCTGGTAATGTACAGTCGTGGCCCTGAAGAAGGAACCCTTTTGGTTGGGGAGGGGCTCCGCGTTCCTTAAGTGTTTCACAGCTTGCCTCAGGTTATCCTTATGTTTTCGATCGGAAGTCGAAGTTTAACTTATGGAAAAAAGGGGCCTCGTTCCTTATTTAGGGTTCCTTAGGTCAACGCCCCGACTGTAGCACGGAGCAGCTCCCCATAAGGGAAAAGGGATCGGCGAGGGTGGGGGAGGCGCGGGAGGAGCAGTGGGGGGAACAGGCGGATGGGGAACACATTGGGCGGGCGTCTGGGGGGGACGTGTGGGGGGATGCCGTGCCGCCTGTGTGGTGTCGGGGCACTCGGTGCCGCCCCCCAGCGTCTGGCTACACCTGCAGCACCACGCCGACCCGCACAGCTGCATAAGCCAGTGGCCGCCGGTGGACAGGGGCCCCGTGACCAAGGTTCGGGGCGCAAGCCGCATTCGCACTGTCCAGTAGACTAGCCTTCGGCTGAGAAGGAGGGGGTGGCTCCCGCGGGGGGAGCAGGATAGCGAGGGAGAGGAGGTGGGAGGAGGTGAGGAGGAGGAGGAGGAGGAGGAGGAGGAGGAGGAGGAGGAGGAGGAGGAGGAGGAGGAGGAGGAGGAGGAGGAGGAGGAGGAGGAGGAGGAGGAGGAGGAGGAGGAGGAGGAGGAGGAGGAGGAGGAGGAGGAGGAGGAGGAGGAGGAGGAGGAGGGAGGAGGAGGAGGGAGGTGAGAGGAGGTGAGAGGGAGGAGGAGGAGGAGGAGGAGGATGAGGAGGAGGAGGAGGAGGAGGAGGAGGAGGAGAGGAGGAGGAGGAGGAGGAGGAGGTGAGAGGAGGAGGAGGAGGAGGAGGAGGAGGAGGAGGAGGAGGGAGGAGGAGGAGGAGGAGGAGGAGGAGGAGGAGGAGGAGGAGGAGGAGGAGGAGGAGGGGCTGAAGGATGGGCCTGACCATGTCCTAACCGTTGCTGCACAGATCGAGCCACAGTTAGTCTGCTTCATGCATCTGATCTGGAGTCCTGTCCTTGGCACCGGCATTCGCATCTTGAGGCGATAGTGATTCTGACGCTGGTAGTGCCGACGACGACGCCATGGCGCCTCTCATGCGACACCGCGACGCCTCAACATCGAGTACCGTTGCTGCGACGGGGTGCCATCGTGTGTCAGAAGTTTCAGACAGGCCCTGCACATGTCCACAATTCTGGCCGCTCGTGTCAAGCGCGCAATCGTCGACATAAGTGTTACCATCTCTTCAGTCTTGGACGCTCTAATGACCCGCGACGGGCCCCCTCCGGACTCAGGGGGAGGGGGAATGTTGAGAATTGGTGAGCCTCTCCCCGACAGTCCGGTCCAAAAGTCCAGCTCCCTAATCCGCCTAGGCTCAAAGGGCTGGTGGGATTGAGCGCTCCCGGCGTTCCTTCGTGTCTTCGTGGAGAAGCGCCGCCTCGGGTCCGTGGCTGGGCCGGTTCCTCTCCTGCCCAGGCGCGGGCTCCTCGCGCCAGCTGAGGGTGCCGTGCCGTGGCGCGGCGTGCTGACACTTCCGTGCTGTGCGTGTGTCGTCCTCGCCTCGTTTCGCTTCAGCTTATCGCTGCCCCACGTCTCTCACAGTTGCACCGTCTCTGTTAAGGCGCTCTGTTCGTGCTCGCTTGCGCTGGTCCAGCTCCTGCTCCAGCCCGTTTTTTGCACAGCGTCCGCGTGTACCACGCTCGTGTCCAGCTTCCTGCGGAAAAGCCCAGTCCCCCCGCCAGCGCACCACGCCACCACTGTTGAGTGATGCTGAGAGTTGATAACCCTCCTCCTCCTCCTTGTCCTCCTCCTCCTCCTTCCCTTCCTCCTCCTCCCGTTCCTTTGCTAGCCCGCTTCAGCTCGGCGCCTCCCTCCCGAGCTTCCGCGCGCGTCCGAAGAGGCCCGCCCGCCTCGCGCCCGCAGGGCCTCGCGCTCCTCCCCCTCCCCCGCTGCCTTCCCTTTTGGGAGCCTTTGGTGGGCCGCTTTGGGGGGGTCCACGGCGGGTCTCGGCTTCGGTCTGGGCACGGTGGTCTTATATCGAGCTCTCTCTCGAAGAGGGTCGACCGCATCGCCTCGTCCGCAGAGCCTCCTTCCTCCCCCCCCCTGCCTTCCTTTTGGAGCCTCCAGTGGGCCGTCGGGGGGTCCACGGCGGGTCTCGGCATGGGTCTGGGCACGGCAGGGGGGAGCCTAGACGGCGTTTGGGCGATTTCGTGGGCCGTTCTCGTTTCGGCTTCGTTCTGCGGTGGGGGCGGACTGAAGACCAAACGAGGGGAAACGAAAACAAAACGAAAACGAAGCACACCGTTTAGGTTCAGCCCTGGGGCACGGTGATTTTATCTCGAGCCCTCTCGAAGAGGGTCGACCGCATCGTCTTGGGCACGTCCGGGCGTGTCCTGGTGCCCCGCCTTGGGGCCTTTTCGGGGCGGTCTTCGGCCGCCGTCGGGGGGTGGCTGTCGAGCAGCTCTTGAGGCTGTCGGACGCTTGTCCGAGGCGATCTTCGTCAGGAAAGCTTCAGAAACAGCAAACATGTACCTCCGTCAGAGTTTCCAATGATTTCTGCTTCTGAGGGCGTGGCGGGAGGTCTCTTGGGGCGTCCCTTCAGACCGCCTCGGAGGCTCTTGAGGCAGCCTGGGGGGACCCTGGAGCCTTTTGGGCCTCCCTGGACCGTCCTTGGATGGCTCTGCGGCGTCTTGGCATCTGGTCTGGGACCGGCCGTCTCCTGGCGTCGCGCGGAGGCCGACAGGGGGCGCAGGGGAGCCACACGGGGAAAAACTGGGCCTCTGTTCAAAAAACTTGGCCTCCTCCTCCTCCTCCGCCTCCTCCTCCTCCTCCTCCTCCTCCTCCTCCTCCTCCTCCTCCTCCTCCTCCTCCTCCTCCTCCTCCTCCTCCTCCTCCTCCTCCTCCTCCCCCTCCCCCTCCTCCCCCCGTCGGTCGCTGCAGGTTCCTGCCTAGGGTTGCTCCTGCGTGCAGCAGAGCTTTGCCACATGCCCGCGTGGGGCGGCGGGGGCAGCCGGAAGTGAGGCCCCTCTCCGCCGGAGCCCTCGGCGGCTGCGGGGGCCGGCTGCGCAGGCTTCGCACGCTCGACACGGCACGAGCACGGAGCACGATGTCTCACCCACAGGGGAGAGGAGGCAACGCGCCCTCCGCCTTCCATTCTACCTCTTCAGCTCGCGCCTCCTCCTCGCCTCTTCAGTGATTCGTGAGGTCCGGTCGTGAGGCCCTGGTCTGATTCTTGTCTGGGCCTTCCCGCCCTCGGAAAGGAGGACGTCCTCGTCTTCGCAGACAGCTTCGGCTTCTGCAAGGAGCTGGGCAGAGGGGGTGGGGAATGATCTCTTCCCCCTCCCCCCCCCTCCTTGCCCCCTTCATTCCTCCCTTTTTCTTCCTCCTCGCGCCTCCCCTGTCTCCATCTGACGCCCCCGGTCGCGTGGACAGGCACTGACCGTATTGTGCGCGTGATCTCTCTCTCTCTCTCTCGTTCTCTGTCTATGTCTATGTCTCTGTCTCCGTCTCTGTCTCTCTCTCTCTCTCTCTTTCTATCTCTATATCTCTCTCTTTTTTTTGTTCTCTCTCTCTCTCTTTCTCTGTCTCTCTGTCTCTCCGTCTCTCTCTCTCTCTGTCTCTCTGTCTCTGTCTGTCTGTCGGTTTGTCTCTCTGTCACTCCGTCTCCCTGTCTCTTATCCCTTGTCTCTCCGCCTCTGTCTTTGTCTCCGCCTCTGTCTCTGTCTCCGTCTCCGTCTCCGTCTCCGTCTCCGTCTCCGTCTCCGGCCGTCTCGCGCACCGCCGAGAACGCGCACCCCGAAAAGGCGCACGCCGAGGCCACCGCCGGGCGGCCGCAGGGGCACACCGACCCCGGGCTGGGGTGCAGGATCCTGCGGCACCCTGCAGGGCCTTGCGGCACCCTGCACGGCCCGGCTGCCCCGGGTCTGGACCGGCCCGCGGCGGTACGGTGCCGTTTTTGGGATACGTGCCCCGCGTGCGGACCATGGGTTGAAGATGCAGGGATTTAGTACTAAAAACAACGAGGAGTTCATATATATATATATAGATTTATAGATATAATGTATATATATATACATATATACATATATATACATATTTGTTTTTTATTGTTTCAAATCCCATGTATCAAAAACTGCCCAGTAGATCCCCGAACCCTCCAGCTGCCCCACCCGCGCGGCAAGGCGGCGGCGACGCGCGGCCCGCTCCCCCCGCGGGCGCGCTCGCTGCCCCGCTGCTGGCCAGGCATGGCGCCGGAGCTCCCCTGTGGTGCTGCGGCTCGACGCCGCGAGCGCTCCCGAGGGCTTCCCCGCGGAGCGCTCGCCCGCGCGAGCGCGCAGGCCCGCGCGAGGCTGGCCGGCGAAGCTGCCACGGCTCCGCCAGCCGCAGGCGCCACAGGAGGTGCCGCACCGCGCGCCGCCGCCGCCGGCGCCACCCCTGAGGTGGTGGCTGCGGCGGATCCTCCTAGGCATGGGTCCGCATCTATGCCTCAGGCGCGGCCAATCAGCCGTTGTGTGCTCGGAGCAGCTCTGCGCTGGTGTGGCGGGTCAGCTCTGCCAGCTTTCCCGCCCACCCCAGGAAGGGCCGCAATGGTTCGGGGGTGGACAGACCTCCTACCCTGACACGTCGATTAGTGAACTGTCCGTTCTCGGTTCTCGAGAGGGCGCCGCGGCCGTCAATTTTCCAGGCTTGCGCCCGCCAGGCTCGGGACCGAGGTCGTTTTCACTAAACCACGTTTTGCCAAAGGGAGGCCTGGGTGATCTGCGCGTCCGCTCGCCTCAGCTTCCCGGGCCAGCGCCGCAGCGGGGCTGGCGCAGCCCTCCGCAGGACCGAGGCCCGCGCCTCCCGCAGGGCCGCCTCGGCGTGCCGCCGCCTCCGCCCCCCCCCCTCCGCGTGCGGGGAGTGAGACCGCCCGCCCACCCGTCGTCTGAGGAGCTGGCGTCCACTGGGCATCGTTCGGGCGTGTGCACCTCCTCTTCTGCGAGGACCATCGGGGGTGGACAGACCTCCTACCCTGACACGTCGATTAGGGAATTGGCCGTTTTCGTTTCGCGAGAGGGCGTCGCGGCCGTCATTTGCGTGGGTCCAGGTCCGTCGGTTTCGGTCCCAGGCCGCTTTCACTGAGGGGAGGTTTACTAAAGGGAGGTTTGTCCACCGCCGAGACCATCGAGGAGCATCTGAGCTCATCCTGCGAGACAGCAGGAAAAGCGCACGAGGTCGAAGCTGCACGGGGGAACGGACCTCCGAGCGACGGCGAGGGACGGGATCGCCGGCCTCCCCTGCAGGCGCCTCGGCAAACGGCCACCGCCGCCAGCGCCCGACCAAAGGGCCACCGCGCGAGCGCCCTCACACCCAGCTCCACCGCTCCCACCGCGACGCTCAAGTCGGGCCTGTCCCCCTACAGGGGGATTTTCGACGAAAGATAAAAAGTACCCCAAACAATAGTCCCAAAATAGTCTGGGGACTTTTTTTAAAGTATTTTTTATCTCCGCGAGGCGAAGGCGGCGGCGCTGGCGCCGCTCCGTGTTTTCGCCTCCGAGAGGCGGCGGCTGCTCCTCGGCCCCTCGCCGCAGCTCCAGCGCTCCCGCGGGCGTCGGCCTCGGCGTCGGCGCAGCGCGGCCTGCTGGACTCCGCGGCGCGCGCCTCCGCGGCCACCGTGCGCCGCGGCGCACCGCCCTCCACGGCCTCTCGGGAGGCGGCCGCCACGAGAGCAGCCCCGTCCGCGGCAGCCGCCAGCCCTCCTCCATCCGCGCACAGGGTGGCCATCTTGCGGGCGGCCGGGGCGAAGGGCGTGCGGTCGCTCGAGCCCATATGCCCTGTCCCTGTCCCTGTCCCTGTCCCTGTCTCTTGCCTCTGCCTCGGTCTCTGTCTCTGTCGCCGTCGCTGCTTCTGTCTGGCTGGCTGGCTGTCTGTCTCTCGCTCCGTCCCCCCTCCCTTGTCCCGTGCCCCCGAGGAGATTCTCGAGCAGGCGCCCCCGGGCCGCCTGGGCCTCACCAACGTGCAGACAAAGGCCGCGTCCGCGCAGTCCGAGAAGGATGTCAGGTTGCCGGGTGGATAAGCGCGGCTCACGTCTCTGCCCTCCTGCCTCCTTCGTCGTCGTCGTCGTCGTCTTCGTCGTCCTCCTCCTCCTCAGCACTCTCTGGACGAGGAGGGGGGATGGGGAGGAGGAGGCGGGTGGGAAAGCCTGGGGAAGGAGTGCGGAGGAGGAAGGTGAGGAGTGGGGGGGAGGAGGAGAATGGGGGTGAGGGGGGGAGGGGGAGGAGGCGGCGCGGGCGCTGAACTTAAACTGGTGGCGTCCGAGTGCCTCCGCACTCGGCCGCCCATGTTGGAAATCTGGAAATCAGGAGGAGGAGGACGAGGAGGAGCGTGCAGAGGAGAGGGGGAGGCAGAAGAAGGCAACCAAGTGCCGAGACCATGGCGCCCTCAGCCGTGGGTAGGGGAGGGGAAGCCGCGAGCGCCTGCGAGGGCGCTGGGCCTTCATGGCCCAAAGGGGGCTTCGCCCCCGACCGTCCGCACGTCGCTCTCCCGATACTTGAGGCAGATCGCCCGGTGCGTGAGGGCCCCGCGTGGCCAGGCAACTTACCCTGAGCAGTACGGGCAGGGTCTTCCTTGCCCTTCTTTCAGGATGGGAGAAAACACACAGACACAATTAATCGTCCACTCCCAGGAAAATCTGGGGAAATATGGGAAGTGGGGGGAAGACAAAAGCTCAAACAATATGGGAAAGTATGAGGGAACATTTGATTTGTGTGTATTTATTTGTGTGTCCTGGGGCCCCTTCATTCTTGGCCGTCGGGAAGCAGGCCTTGGCTAAGTGAGGCCGGTGTGCCGCAACGGACGCACATCTACAAATAAGGCCGATCCAGGAGTGCGAGCTTATGGGTGGGGTCGAGAGCGCCTCTCCACTGACGGACGCGTGCCCAGGGACCGGCAATACCACATCGCGAGGCCAACTGGCCAAGTGGCCAGCGCAAGGAGAGTTTATTGCTTGGGTCAGTTGCTTTCTGGTCGAGATAAAGCCGCAGCGCACACAATGCCGCTCCGCCCCGTCTCGGCGTGTACTGTTGGCGCTGGGGAGGGGATGATGATGATGATGATGCTGATGATGCTGGTGCTGATGATTTGATGATGATTTGAATGATGATGATGACGACTATGATTGTGATGATGAGTATACTGATAACGGAGATGGTGATGATGTTGATGGTGATGGTTATGATGATGATAATGATACGCATGAGGATGCTGATGATTTAAGTGACGGGTGATCATGTTGATGCTGGCGATGATGATGATTATGCTGGCGACGATACTGATGATTGTGATGATGCGTATGATGTTGATGACGGGGGTGAAGATGGTGGTTGTGGTGGTGGTGACGCTGATGATAATTGGAGATGGTGCCGGTGTTTATGCTGATGATGATGGTAGTAGTGGTGGCGGTGCTGATGATGACGATGCTGATTATGATGATGATTACTATGATGATGTATGGTAGATGATGAAGACGACGTTCCTGTTGTTGTTAATGACAATGGCAATGCTGATGATGCTGATGGTGCTGGTGAGGATGATGATGATGATGATGATGATGATGATGATGATGATGATGGTGCTGGCACTGATGACGACGATGATGATGATGATGATGATGATGATGAAGATGGTGTTCAAAAGATGAGGACGGTGATGCTGACGGTGGTGATGATCATGCTGAGGATGCTGATGATGATGAGGATGATGATGATACACTCGAGGATGATGATACTGATGATGCTGATGCTGATGCTGATGATGGTGATCATTCTGCTGATGACGACGATGATTATGATGACGATGGTGATGATGATGATGATGATGCTGATGATGCTGATGGTGTCGGTGGTGATGGTGATGCTGCCTATGGATGATGCTGCTGCCGCTGCTTCTGCTGATGACGATGATGAGTATGATGATGATGATGATGATGATGATGATGATGATGGTGGTGGTGGTGGTGGTGGTGGTGGTCGTAGTGGTGGCGGCGGTGAGGATGATGATGATGATGATGATGATGATTCTGATTATGATGCTGATGCTGCTGATGATGATGATGAGGATGATGATGGTGGTGATGATGATGATGATGATGACGATGACGATGACGATGACGATGATGATGATGATGATGATGATGATGATGATGATGCCGATGATGATGATGATGATGATGATGATGATGATGATGATGATGGGCAGGACTCTGAGTCATGATGATGATAATGATGATGATGATGATGATGATGATGATGATGATGATGATGATGATGATGAGGATAACCATTTTCTTTTAACACCACCGCCCTCTTTCTATCTTTACCTTTACTTCTTCCTCCCCTCCTCTTTCCCTGACCGTACCCCGCCCTCTGTCCATTTTTTTACCCCCTCTTTTGCGGTACGGTAGGTTCGCGTCGTGTCGACCAGCGGCGACCCCGCCAGGGGTGTTCAAGGTCGAACGCCGCCAGGGGTCCATAATCGGCCTACACGGAACGATCGGGCGATCGGAAAGCCGCCGATCGTTTAAGGTTGAACGATGCACACGGTGTCAGAAACCAACGCCAGGGTCGTCACGATACGAATTTGCCGTAAGTTCGTTTACATAAAAAGGCGTGGGTTTTGGGGTCCGTTCAGGAATTTGGTCAAGATGCACCCGTGGGACGTCATCATCTTCGCTCTTGGGGTCGACCCGCCCGAGAAGAACGATATAGATGAGATCCACCGTCAGCAGATTGCCGTCATCAAGGTTCTTCTTACCATCTTCAAGTGTCTTGCGGACGACGCGTCCAGGTGCAAGCGCTTGGTCGTGCTCACGTCGGACTGTTTCGCCGAGGAGACTGAGATCCACGAGGAGATGGGCCTCGGCCTCATCACGCACTGCACTCTGTTCGGCATGTGCAACTGCGCACGCTTGGAGATGCCCGTGCCAATCCAGTACATCGACGCAGAGTGGGCCCTCAGGACAGAGAACATCAAGTATCTGGCATCTGAGATTTTCCGCCACTCGTCCTTTGGCCACAACACGGTCCGCATATTGAATCGCGGCCGCTACGTGCTGAGGCAGGTACCGTCGAAGCCGTACGAGAACCTTCCTGACTTTCAGGTTCCAGACGACGGCGTGATCGGGATCAGTGGCGGCAATGGGGCGCTCGGGATTGTCATGGGCCAGTTCCTTCTGGCCAAGGCTAAGGACACGATGAGTGGCGTGGTTGGGGAACCAAGACGGGGGCTTCCCTTTGTTCCAGGTTTAAAGTTGAATGCGAGGGGGGCGGGCGGCCGGGGGGGGGGGCAGAGGCGTGCGGGTCTTTTCATAGCCAGAGCGGCAGCTTTGCAACCCCAAGAGAGCTTTTTCCAACCAGCCTTTCTTGCCGCAGAAGTTGTTCTTGCAACGGGCGAGACTACTCCGCTCATTTCATCGAATTGTGCAGCAATTCCTGCCTGCCAAGATGTTACTGCACATACGTAAGGGCCGCACTTATATACTGGAAATATGTTGCTAGAAAAGAGAGTAACCAGTGATCTTAAGAGGCATGCCGCGCTGCGAAGTCCCGTTTGCACGAACAATCCATATAATACAGTAAGCCCATCAGACCGACTTTAACACCGGAGTTCGCGCGGCACTGCGCTGACACATCTACCTACCTTTCTACCACCCTGGGAAACACGGTACACATCTTACCTCGCCCAGGTCATACACCACCGCATCTTATATGACGACCCATTAGACTCTACCACCGCTCTTCTCTGCTCCACAAACGCCGTGGTTCCCCTTCAAACACGCTTGATCGGTAGGTCGGTTAATTTTCTTTTTGGTCGGCTTGCAGGCAACCCGTCAGATTTGGCTTATGGTCTAATTTGATGGTTGGCAGTTGATTTGGGCTGTGTGCTGGCTGGCTGGTCGCGTGCGTCTGTAATGATTATTCCGGACGCTTCGCGTAACCCCCTCAGCCCATCCAGAAACGATGCCCGGTCAAGTCGCCCCGATCAGGCATGTGGAGGAGTATGCAGTGGAATACAGGACTCGGGAAGACGTCATACCCCAAGAGGGAGAGATGGAGGAGGAATCGGAGGAGGAGGAGGAGGAGGAGGAGGAGGAAGAGGGGGAGGGAGAGGAGGGAGGAGGAAGGAGGAGGAATGGGCGGATTAGGAGGAGGAGGAGAACGAGCAGGAGGAGGAGGAGGAGGACGAGCAGGAAGAGGAGGAGGAGGAGGAGGAGGAGGAGGAGGAGGAGGAGGAGGAGGAGGTGGGTGGGCAGAAACGCCAGAGTCCTCTTGCATGTCTCTTGGTGTATCTTCGGATGTCTTTCGAGAGCTTCTTGGAGTCCCCTTGGGGCGTCTCGGGGTCCCTGGGCAGTCCCAGGGGCCTCTTGGGGCGTCTTGGGTGCCTCTGGGGGCCTTTGGGGCCTTTTGGGGGTCCTTTGGGGGTCTCTTGGGGACATCTTGGGGGTCTCTTGGGGCCTCCTGGGCGCCTCCTGGGGCGGTACGGTGTTTTAACTTCCCCCCTTCTCCGCGCTCTGCGCGACGCCACCTGTTGGCCTGCCCTTGGCAAGTGAGGCACGTTATCGTTTCCCTGGGCGCCTGTGCAGTCCCTGGGGCGCCCTCGTCTGGCTGCTCGTCAGCGTTGTTTGGCATCCTGGAGTTGTGGCTTCACTCTTTCGGACTCGTCACCTGGACCTTGCTGCACTGTGTGCTCCATCCGTGCCTGGGTCTGTCCTTCTCGGCCACCCCACGAGCACGACCCGCCCTCCAGCGCCTCCCGAAGAACCTCACGCGGTGAGTGCCCTCCCGCCGCGCGCTGCTTCTCCCCCGTTCTCTGCCTTTCGCCCCTTCGCTCTCGTGCCTTCGTCCCTCTCGTCTTTTCGTCCTCCGTCCCCTCCTCCTCCTCCTCCTCCTCCTCCTCCTCTGCCTTTCGCCCCTTCGTCCGCAAACTGGTTCGCCGCGCTGCGTCCCACCGTTGCCCTGCCGCTGCCTCCGGATCCTGGTGGCCTCCGAGACAGAGATCGTGGCATCGGGGGTGCAGGCCTGGCGTCACCTGCGAGGGACCGGCCTCGGGGGCGCGCAGCAGCTGCGGTCTGCATGGGGTTGCTGTTTCGAGAGCACGTGCGCTCACCAGCCTCGAACGTATCCCTATCCCTAAGATTGACACGCCAAAAGGCGAGGACAATCTTAGGGATGCGCCCTGAAAAACTAAGGGGATCCCTAAGATTGGCATTGTGATGAGGCGATGCCCAGCTCAGGGATAGGGATATGTTCCAGGCTGGTAATGCACGCCATCATGGATAGTGGATCTTGGTTTTGGGAGAGCGAGTCTTCAGTACTCACGGGGGATTGGTTTCGGGAGTGCGAATATGCGGTATTTCTGTGTCCCAGGGCCCTCAAGAAATTTTGAGAACCCCAGTCTATCGTGATTGACATCGCCTTCTCGGGCTCCTCCCCTCGCGCGGATTTCAACCATTACAACATCTGTAACCAATCCATACTTCGGGAACTTGAGCTCTTGCAGGGAGCAGGACAGCCTAGTCCTCGCAGCCTGCTGGGTCCCAGGGGGGCCGGCAGACTCCACCACGCTCTACTCCACTAAGGTCGTCTGTTTTCCTCGGTTTTCTCGTATCATAATCAGGTCCGTGTTTTTCTGGTGGTCCCCCCAACGTGTTACCCCAAAGCTAACGACCACAGCGGCCACCTGGAGAGCCCCAGGTTGTGAATAGAACCCGTGTAATACCCTCATATATACTCCTTATCCTCACCTCTCCTGCGCCTGGCCGTTTGGGCTCAGGTATTGGGACAGATCGATCAGTCCTTTGATCGTGCACATGCGCTGCAAGGGGTCCATCGGGGCCTCGCGTCCGAGCTCTCCGACGGCGCGACGGCTCGGTGATGAGTTGGAGAGCCTTAGTGCGGACTGTGTTGGTGTCCCAGGTACCCCCCCCAGCTCCGACGGACCCGAGGCGCGGCTAGCTGCTGAACTTCACCGCAGCGCCGCCCGCGGGGGGACAGGAAAAGGAGTAGGAACAGGAAGGAAGGAGTTTCACACGCCTACCTTCGATCCTCCATCTCCTCCTCAGTCGGGAGCAATCCCAACTGCGTCAGGCGAAAGCCTCACTGGTCCTGATACTCCAGGGCGCTTTCGCGCTAACCGCCGATGGACCTCAGGTGCTGGTACCCCCAGCCCTGCGACCTTTCCTGTTGCGGAGCACGTGGGCACCTTCGAGGAACTCAGTAGACCAGTGGCGGCACAGCCGCAGACGCAGTACCCCAAGGTATCATCAGATGAGACACCACGCACATGGTCCGAGTCGCATCTCGTCCGCGCGCAACCGTCGTGGGGCCCCAGGCCCGTATGGCGAAAGTAGGTCGAGCCCGCGTACTGCCTCTCAGAGGCCATGCGCTCCCCGTGACAGGGGGCACAGGGAAGCTGACGCTCCCCACCTCTCCATCTCAGACGACCAGCTGGCGGAAACGTCCGCCGCAGGTGAAATAGCTGAGCTCAGAGACCAGGTTGAAACCTTCGTGTCCAGGCAAAACTCGTGGACTACTGCAGGGCGTTCAGACGAACGTCGCCGATGCTGCAGTTATACGTCACGATCTGGACGGCGCCTTAGGGATCATTGATTCCAGGATCGCCGAAGATCGACGCATCATAGGTGAACTGCAGTACCAGGTTGATCGTGAGGTGTCACGCTCAGGTGAACGAGCGGCGATGGTCGAGAACCTGTGCAACTACCTCGCGCAGATGGAGCAACAGCTTGTGCTCGTACGCGACACAGGCGTTTCAGCAGTCAGGATCTTACATGATGAGATCCACGACCAGCTCCACAACCGACCAACACCAGCCGAGGCCACCGACCTTGGCGACGTTCAGTCTCAGATCAATGATCTTCGATCCTACATAGACCACGCTACGGCGACGCTTCGCAACGAAGCACACACTAACTCGTCGAACCTGATCGACATGTTGCAGCGTGCTGAGAGAGTCATCACTCAAAGGCTTGATGCGACCAACGCTGTCGTGCAGCCACTCGCTAACCGGATCTCTGAAATCGAGCAGCGTTTTCCTGGTGTACAGGACGCCCTGGCAGAGTTGCGTGTCGGACGAGCCCAGACTGGCCAGCTGGATTCTCCTCCCACGGTTTACGATTTCGCCCGCCTCACTGACAGGTTGCAGGAGGTTGAGAAGGCGGCGGACCACGCGCAGTTGGAGCTCTCCCAGGTTATTCGTGAGAGAGATACTGAGAAGGTACGTGTTGAGGGGCGCCTCGCACTTCTGGAAAGCGAGCTGGAGGCACAAAGCGCCCGTCTCCGATCATACGAGCAACGACTTGATCGGTGCTCACAACGTTCTCGGGCTACTGATGAGTACACACGCCAAAAGGTGGCCCAAATACACGAGGACGTGACGAGCTGGACGAATCAGCTGATCGACCACGCCAACGACACCAATCTCCACCTTCGACCTGCACCCGACCTGCACAGGCCGACGGCAGCGTCCGCCGAAGCACCACAAGCTTCTGCAGGACAACAACGACGTACGTCACCAGGAGCAGCCTCCGCGGCAGCTTCTGCGCAGACACGCCATGTGTCTCCTGTGCGCACGAAACCGACTACTGACGGTGTACCGATACCCTCACAACCACTGTCTGCGGTTTCGGTCCATACTACAGCTCCTATCAAGGAGTCAGACACCGTCCGAGTCCCTGTCTTGCCTAAGATCACGCAGCTGCTTGAGTGGCAGCAAAAGGTACGGAAGAACTTTGGGACCGCCTCAGGGCGACCATCCAAAGCATATGCCTTCCTACGCGTGGCTGAACAGCCCGAGTGTACATTCGAGGACTTACAAGACAGTGGAGACTTTGAGAGCATCGATTGCAAACTCGCTACCGCTCTGAGCAACGTCTTTTCCTCAGACTTGCGCTACCAAATCAGGCTCCTCGAAACCAGAGAGCACAAAGCAGGACGCATGTTCAAAGGCCGCCAGATTTACTGGCACATCCAACAGTCCTACAAAGTGACAGAGGTTGATGACGACCTGCACGACTTCGAGCGCCTTAGAGAACTGAGGATGAGAGATGACGATTTGCAACGTTTTAGTACTGACTGGGACGCTTTACTCTTGGAGTGCCGAGAGCACCCGATCCAAAGATCTTGGAATCTCTGTTTCGTACACAGATTCGGAGACATGCCTGGATGAAAC